AATATGAGCCGGCAGTGTGCCCAGGCGGTCAAGAAGGCCAACGGCATCCTGGCTTGTATCAGAAATAGTGTGGCCAGCAGGAGGAGGGAAGGGATCGTGCCCCTGTACTCGGCACTGGTGAGGCCGCACCTTGAATACTGTGTTCAGTTTTGGGCCCCTCACTACAAGAAGGACATTGAGGTGTTAGAGCGTGTCCAGAGAAGAGCAGCGAAGCTGGTGAAGGGTCTAGAGCGTAAGTCTTACGAGGAGCGGCTGAGAGGGCTGGGGTTGTTTAGCCTGGAGAAAAGGAGGCTGAGGGGAGACCTCATTGCTCTCTACAACTACCTGAAAGGAGGTTGTAGCGAGGTGGGTGTCGGTCTCTTCTCCCAAGTAACAAGCGATAGGACGAGAGGAAATGGCCTCAAGTTGTGCCAGGGGAGGTTTAGATTGGATATTAGGAAAAATTTCTTCACCGAAAGGGTTGTCAAACATTAGAACAGGCTGCCCAGGGAAGTGGTTGAGTCACCATCCCTGGAAGTATTTAAAATTCATGTAGATGGGGCACTTAGGGACATGGTTTAGTGGTGAACTTGGCTGTGTTAGGTTTACGGTAGGATTCGATGATCTTAAAGGTCTTTTCCAACCTAAATGATTCTGTGATTTCTTCACCGCTGCTGGTAGGGTGAGGAAGGGAATGAAAAGCAAAAGGGGAGCTTGTTTCTTCTGGTGAAGTGTTGTACCCGTTCTGGCAGAAAACGGATAAGATTATGAAATTAGATTATGTAGGTAAACTTCCAGAAGAGAGAAGTCTTATTTACACCAAAGGGTGATGCAAATAAATACATGGAAACTGACAATGAATAAACTGAGGCTGGAGAATAAGAGGAGACTTGTGACCAAGTAGACTCTAAGGATCCAGAAAAATCTTTCTATTGAATCAATAGGGACAAAATACCTAAACTAGACTAGGTTTAGGTAAACTAAACTACCTGAATCTTTAGGACTAGCTCTAAATATTCAGACTAAAAACGCTTATACACAATGAGTTGTCCACAGAAGCAGCAGACTGGACAGATTATCCCAAGAAGCCCTGTAGTCTTCATTTCCTACACCCTTAAGAGCTATACTTAAGGTTGCAATGCAACCTTTTAGTTCCAAAATTATTTTCTTACCCCACTCAAGTACCAGTGCTTGTCTAGCTGCAGCAGAGGCAAAAAAACTGTTCCTGAGGGGCAGCAACAGCAGCAAGCAGTGAAGCTCAGGTGTATTTGCCCCATGGCAGCAAACTTGCTCACTAGTCAGTGCATAGTTTTAAAATTCATTAACTTATAAAATATTCCTAATTTGGAACTGTAGTAGAAAGCCCTGACCTATAAAATACACAAATGTATAATTACATCCATTATCAGCTAAATGTAAGATCTGTATATAAGTTTTACTGCAATTATTAGTTAAGCACATTTCTTATATGTAATTGTATTTAGATCTACAAGTAAAAATGCTGTAAAGCATGCATTGATCTCCTAAATTAGACGTGCAGCTTTCAAGACGATGACATAAGACTCAGTCATGTAGATTTTAGGGATAGACTATGTTGTGATTTGGTGTGGGAAACTCTACAGAAGTAGCTTGAGCCATCCGCACTCTGCAGTGTTCACTTTGTGGATGCTGATCAGCATCCGCTCAGAAGCTGGAAGCTTCTGGGAAGACAAAATTACATTGTATGGGAATGCATTTCTCCTCTCTCAGAAATACAGAAGGGATTAATGAACTGAACCAGTGCACTGGGTTAAGATTCCCTCCGGTGCTCGAAGCCCCTCCTTCCACAGCCTTGTGAAAGCTGAACAAAACGTCATGACTGAAAAGCTGAGAACTTAATTGGGAAAAACCATTCTGCAAAGAGTGGTAACAGGTGGAAAGTAGGAATGGGGCTGCGTTCTTGACATCAAACAGGGAAAAGGTGTTCTAGCAAAAATCTAGCCAATGATTTGTATGAGGATCTTCTTTAACAGACTTGGGCATGGACCTGGATTTGCTCGTTTCTTTGTTTCAATAATTAAATTCTACTTCATGTAGGCCACATGCCTTCTCTTGTTTTCTTTGGCCAGCTCTAAGACTCTGGTGCCTTCACTCTGGTGAATCACAAGTTCCTGGGGCAGAAAATTATGTCTGGATTCCTTGAGGACAGTTTCCTTTAAATTAAATTTTCTTTAAAAAGCCAAGTAGGGCAAAGACATTAAGAATAAAATCTTTTAATGAAGAAAACAGCCTTGAAACATTAACCAAAGGAGCAGAAGCAACATTTGCCTCATGCTGGAAAGATGTACTTGAACCTTCACCTTAGAAGTGAGCAGCTGAAAACGTTGTACTTCAGCATCATTTGTGCCAGTTTTCTATAGTAAACAGAACTCCGTGATGATGCTCCCACTTCTTATCTGGGTAGGTAAAGTAATATTCTTTCACTCTACTTTCTTTTAGATGCCAAATTTTTTTTAAAGGTCTCTCAACACAAGACCAAAGGCAACAAGGAAATGCACTTCTTCTAAGCACTTAGAACAAAAATGACAATGCAATGAACAAAATGCAGGCTATGAAAGAAGTAATGGGCGATACTTCTTTTTAATACCACCCTGTATTGTATTTAAATCTGAAAACATCCAGGATTCAATCTAAAACTTGCAAGATACCAGTAAGTAATCTAACTGAGCCTTACTTCTGTGTATCTGAGGAAAAACTAAGTGAATGACCATACCTGTAGTACTAGCTGTATAATAAATGTGCACAATACTTACATTGTATATTTATATATATAATAATTCCTGTACAGAATGACCTTATGTGGTTCTAAGCAATATATATTTATAAATAATCTCTATGTGTGTAGTTTCAATGTGTATCTTACATAATCGCCTTTAAATGGCTCTATAAACAATACTAAATTGCTACTTTGCACTGCAAACACATTAACTCATTGATTTTACACTACTGTTTAGGAGTGAGGTCTTCCTATGGAAAATTTCAGTGTGTATTTTGTGCAGGGTCAGGCAGGTCTATTTTCCTGTTTTGACACCGACCTACTTCTGAAGTGCACCCCTTTGCCTTCAAAATCTGCAGGTGAGGAGTCTGCTTGGACCTACCTCAATGATAGCTCCATCAGGTAGCCTGAGGAAGTGCCTGTAGAGATCCTGGAAGCCGCTGAGGTGAACAGTGTAGACAGAGACGTGAACGGTGGTGCTACCTCTCGAGTTAGCTGCAGAGTCAGGGATTTCATCCTGGTGCTGGAGGTCACAGCTGGAGACACCAGGCTTGCTAGCGTGGTCCTTCCAGATGTAATCAGACACTGCCACCTAGTGAGACAGAAGGCCCCCCCCATACACACACACACGTACGCACAAACGCACACACACACACAGAATCCCCCCACCCCCCCCACCAAAGGAACATATTTAATTAACTTCTGGTAAGAGCTTAACCGATTTAAAATGATTTTACAATAAATCTGCAAAGCCTGTACCATATGCAGTGCTTGCACACAGTTCTCTACTACATATTTTTTTATGACATAGATCTAAATAGAAGAGATAGACAAATCCCTAGTGTATATTCTATAAAGTTAATTCTGCACAGATGAAGCTGTAATTGACTCCCGTATTAACCAAAAGTAGGGAGATCAAGCAGGGTAGGTTAAACAATAAAATGGCAATGCTGATTAAAAAAAGAAAGCTTCCCGAGAATTTTGCGAACGAGTATTTGTATTTCTCTCTCTTCGAGAAGCCTTTGTGCCTGTACCCACAAGCACTTTTTAGTCTCTGAACTCTGTATAGTATTAAAATAACCTTGTGCTGCTAACTGAATTGTAGATGAGGCAGAGTAAATAAGGTGTATTTTAATGCATTGTATAAAGCTAGTTTATTGACACAGTTACCTAGTTTCCTGGTTTGCTCTAAACACATTTGCTTGGGTAGGTTTTGTACCTCCCTGTGTCAGCCAGACTTTCCATTTAACCTTTTTCGTGTTAATTCTTTACACAGGCTGAGCAGAATTCAAGACTTCAGATGGGTCATAGTGCACAGTTTAAGCACCCCTTATCCTTAACTAGAACTGATGATGAGAAGCATTATTTTTATACACCCACTGAAGTGCAAGCTTTTCAACCCTTCACTTCTGTGAGACCTTTGCGTCACTCATTTTCTCCCGTGAGATGCTACTCCTGTTTACAGTAGGAAGATATTGGTGATATTGTTATATCCTTACAATACACCAACATTCTCTTCCCAAACACTTCTACTTAATGCAGAGGAAATAACTCTTTTGCTGGTCTAGCACATGCCTTTTCTTTCAAGAAAATGTATTACACTGGCTGAAATGATTGGAACTCGCCCATGAAGCTAGCCATTGAAAACCTCTAATTTAAGATAAGTGCATCAAAACGTTCTTTTGCATAGTTTTGATTTTTCTTTTTGCTGAAACAAAGAGCTCAGATTCTTACAAGAGATCCCAAAATCATCAGATACAAATTTTTCCCCCCACTTGGGAAAAGTTAGATCTAGCTCAGTTCGCTTGTGTTCCAGTTCACGTTTCCTCAGCTGTTCTTACGCATTACGAGGAATCCCGTAACTAGCACAGTGTGCCAACGCCACGATCCTGACGTGCACGCTGCTATTCTGAGCAACTGCCTTAGGAGAAGATTGGTTTTAGGTGAGTTAAGAAAGCAAGAACAGGCACTGGAAATTATCTCCAACTCTTTTCCAGGAAAGACAGAACAATAGGAAACTTCATTTTAGTGCCAGCTTTCATTTGCATCAGTCCTAAACAATTTTATACATTTTAAAACAAGGAAAGGTCATCTGAAATTTAAGGTAAAATATGCACAGTCTGAATTTCCCACACCAAAGCCTCTGGGGTTAAAAGGCTTTCATTCAGAACAACTTGTTAGAAGCACACAGCAGCTACAAGGACAGGACAAGCCCTGCATTTTCTTCTGCCTACAAACATGTCTTACACGCCTGCCATACGCAGTTGCTCGGTAAGAATTAAGGTGGTCAATGCTCTCATGAAAGCAGAAAGGCAGCTTCTGTTGGGACAGTGCTGGCCAGAGCAGGGACAAGCAGCTGCAAGAGCTGCCACAGCACAGCTTGTGAAATGGGAACAAAGACCCCGCCACGGTTACCCTCCTCTCTCATCCCAGCGTCTCACAACCAAGAGCTCTGACCTGCCTAGTCAAGAGCACCAAGCCCTTCCTGGCCTCATGTCTTCTCCCTCATCTGACTTCAGGGAAGAGAAACGGCTGGGAGAGCCAGCTCAGAAACTCAGTCTGCAGAGGATCCACCCGGCAAAAGGGATGATCTTTGTCATGTTCCTCCTTTTATGCTGGATGCATTTTCCCCTGTAGTGCTTGCTTCTTTTCTTTGGAGTGTTTTCCTCTCTCCTGAATCAATCCCGCATGTTCCCCTGCTTCCTCTCTGACCTTCATCTTAGCCCACTTTCATTAAATCTGCTTGTCCTTCTTCTGTGTTTGTCCCTACCAACAAGTAGGAGGATTTATTTACCATGTGTTTTGCAAGCCATGGATCATTCACTGTGAACACCGCATCCTTCTCTGCAGCTCTGTTTTGCCTCTTTGAGCTGTGAGCTCTGGGGGCAGAGATATGCATGCTGTGCTTGTCCAGCACAGAGGACAGCATGGACCTTAGACTACCTTCACACAAGTAAATTACCACATATATTTTCAGTCATTGCCAGAGCTGAGTGTAATTTACAGCATATAATTACCGTACTGGAAGCCAAAGCCATGTCACTCAAACCTTTGTACTTGAGCAAACCTTCGCCTTGCCAGGGCGAAGACCTCTTTCAGGAGTTCCTGGCTCTGGGCGCCATCCCTGTAGCACCATATCCATACGGGACCAGGTACAGCATCAGGATTCTCTGCCTTGCCACCCACCCTGAGAAGAGACAGATCTGTGGGGTAGTGGGAGTAAACAAACCCACCTGAGCTGTCGTCACATTTCAAGATCTGGCGAACTCCCTCTAAGGATATTTATGTGACTAGTCAAGAGAACATGACAATTGGCATGTCCTCCCCTCCCTAAAAGCACAGCCTGATCATCAGACAACTGAGAGTGAAAAAGCATCACCAACACTGATGGTGCTGTGCTGAGTTGCATCGCCTTGGTCCTGGGTAGGCACAAGTAGAAAGAAGGGAAATGGGATGCATGGCTGAGGCGTCACTCATTGACCCTTCCTCAAAGTCATCTGGTAGCATGAATTTGCCTGAAGGCAGACTCTGCAATATGCAGTAGGATATAACAGCTGATAACCAACCCCGGGAAAGGAAAGAGCAGTGCTGGGGGTGGCTGTGGATTTAGACACCCCAGCTCTGAAGGACCATTCAATTCCCTCCTTGCTAGCACCATCTTGAAGTATTTGGCAGACGGATGTCCACTGCCTTGAAACTTTCAAAACGCATTTCTGTGAAATGATAGGTCACTAGAGAGCTGCTGTGGCCTACATAACCTGAAGTAAGCTCCAAAAGTAAACTCTACTGTCATCTGAAATTTCTATCATTAAGTTAATCAAAAATGTCCATTCATTTCTACAGGAATACAATATGAGTTAATAAATCCACTGAGACAGGCTAGTCAAGAGACTGTGCATATAGGACATGTCAGAGGAACTGAAGTTAGCTATGATCTAGATTCACAAGGGCTGACAAGAAACCACAAAATGCCAGAACAGTGTACAGTAATCCTTAAATGAAATTCATCTTTCAGCAGAAAAACACATTAAGGATGGTAATTCAATGATAAAAGAGGCAGGCCAGAACAGGTTCAAATGCTGAATATTTCACAACATAACTTAATTAAAGCAGGAGTGTGAGGCTGTTAATCGCTTTATAATAGTTCAGCTTGAAATGAGGTCTGATGTGAATGCCCTTATAGTTTATTTGTTTATATTATTATAATCACAAAATGTTACATCGACCTAATGCAAATATACAGTTTTCACTGGTCTTTGTGTGTTATTTTTTCTTCCTTTCAATCCTCCTGTCTTTGTGCAAGTATGCAAAGGGAAGAACTGAGAGGAAGGGTCATAAATTTAGGTCAGATCAGATGATTCAGTAAGTCTCGTGTGGGTTTAAGTCTTATTAATAATTTTAATACATTCTTCCTTGACAACAATGATTTCAATCACTGCTCCTTTAACGTACAGAGTGACGTAAAAATACATGGACTTTTAAAGGAATGGAACATGCTTCTCATACAAAGAAGGTAAATTATGTCACCCTTTGGAAATTACAGTACATAACCTGGAACAAAAGACAAAAATACATTTGTAAGTACAAATACAAATGTACTTTGTTGTATAACTATATCATGCCATACCAAGTGTATAGAAATATGTTATTGAAGTAGAACATGATAACATTTTAAATACAAATATATTAATAAATGTATATTTATAAATATATTACACACATGATACACAGCCAATTAATATTAATATTTCCAAGGTCAGGGTACAAAAAATGCCATGCTAGTGTGTACAGGTACTATGAGGTTTTCTCTTGTTTGACAGCTTTTGTAAAAGAAGAAAGGAAAAAAGAATTCCTCAAATTTTCTGAGCTACAGTGGGAATGAGAGGAAGACTGACATTTAGTGTCTTAAAAGAAGACATCAGCATAAAAATAATTCTTTTTAAAAAGTTGAGAAATAGACATATCTGTGTGTCTCCAAACACCTGATTATGAGTAGTGCTGATTCTTAACTGCTTGCAGCATTATTATTTGCAATGTCATGTGAATCAATTCCAGCTTTATGCATCGTAAAATGTATAAAAAATGTTTGAAAGCAGCATTCAAAGGAAATGCATAAAATGAGCAATACGGACCAAAGAAACCATGCGAGAATGGGCAGAACTGTGAGCTGGTCATGACAAATAATTAGCAGAAGTTACAAGCTGTTAACTTTAGGGGAAAGGGCAAAAGTGTTGAAATTATAGAAAAAAAAGACATCAAAAGTCGAGGGTGCTGTATTTACTTCAAGTAACTTTCATAAACATGGTAAGTGCATTTTCTGTGGTAAGAGTTGTAAATATGGGAACTGCTGTCCTGGAGGCAATCTTTGTTAAACCAGTGTAGCTCTACAATTAAAGAAACAAAAGCTGGCTAGCATTAACCTCCGAGGAAAGCTCAGCACCCCTTAAGTATTGCAAACCCCATCTCTGACACGCTGCTGCTAAAAACCTTGCCAGCAACTCTGGGAAAAGAATTTACATGGACATACCTAAAAACACCCTTGCTGCCTGTATCAAAGGCACCTTGGTGGCATCCAGGTCCAGGTGAGGCTAC